TGTAATCCCTTAATTTGGGGTAGAAACAGGGTGACTGGATGAAACTAAGTGTTTACTTGCCAGATGCCCTTCCTGATGCCATGCGGAGTTCACAGCAGATATTTTTCCTTTGCACCCCAAAAGAGAAACCTCTAGGATCGAACTCTCAACTTTCCAAGTGGGGGGCAAGCATCTTCCCCCCTAGGCCACCACAATAAGCACAGCGATTGCCAAAATATGTAGTGAAGATATAAGGGTACAAAGTATCTATTCTACATGAAATACAGACCAATCCTTTAAAGGAAAGGAGTCCTAAGAGCACTTCCCTCCAAATCAGCAGACTGAGCTTCTGCAGAGATCTTCTAGTCACTATCATACTATCATTTTGCCAAAAAGTATATAATCATTTAGATTATCATAATTGTTTTGAATTTGGCACTTATGCATATAAAATAGCAGATGCAAATTTATGCACACTATCTGTGTTTTTTTGGTAATGCACTTTCTTTTCTCTTTCTGAAGGATTCCTAAGTGACAGGTCTGCAAATCTTTCAAGTTTTTAACATTCTAAAAACGAGTTGGGGCAAAATAAAAGAGCATTGGATTTAATTTAATTATAGTTTTGTTAAAAAATAAATATCATTCATAGGATAATTCTCTTTCTCATTTTCTCCTTTTAACCTCTTAAATAAAATAGTTATTCTCTTGAATAAAAGCTGTAGCTATTGGTGTAGATGTCGGAGTTCACCAAGGTTTTGTATCAGGGATTGAAAAGAAGGCCTGCAGCCGCCAAGCTGTGAATTGTAGATGCTTGCCCTAGCTGATAATTTTTTTCCCTAAAAGGGCAAATTTTAGAGGAAAAATCTGCCATGATAATGATAAGACTTGACAGCTAGGAAGAGATCTCCATCTGCAGAGGACCAAAATGCTTACCAGGCGACCCGAGGAAATCAAGGATGTTGTTTTCTGTCAAACTATTCGATGAACTTTAAGCCTCACGTTGTATGAGAAGCAGATTAGAAGGACATTAAATGCCATGGATCAAATACATAGGAGTACATAGGAGTTATCCATGAGTCATAGGGACTTAGTATCAAATTTTGGAGCTGACTCGTTTATCCCCTACTCCAATATAAATTCTTGAGGTGTCTCCTCGGTGTTTGAATCATGACTGTGAGGGAAAGGGGAAGATACTTAATTGTAATGTGAGCAGAAATTCAATTTCTTTATCCTTACCATATCTAACCAAAAATTGCTATCTACCTTCTAAAATAAAGATTGCTACAAAAAGGTTTAGGGCTAGGGTTCTCCTTCTCTGCTCCTTGATGTAATTTAAAAATGTACCCTTTTAATATATGGCTGATGGGGATCAGCAGTCTGCATAAACTCGTGTCTTGGGATCCTGCCAAGACTTACTCTTAGTTTCTACAAGGAAAAACCAGTTTCTCTTTCCCTCCACAAATTAGCTTTGCCCTTGGAGTGGGGAGGGGGCAAACACCAAGCTCTCACCTTCCTCATCCTCCTAACCTCACCCTCCCTTTCCCCAATTCCACTATCCCACCTTCCCTGCCAAGATGGCTTGATTAAAAAGCCGCTGCTGCTGGAATAGCTGCACAGCTGGTGATCCTGTCAGCACCCCTGAGCAGAAAGTCGCTGAAGATTAAAATCTCCAATTAGCAGGAATGTGAAGTCGGCAAGAAATACGGCAGATTCCAAAACTAAAATGGAACACTTTTGAATCAACCACCCCATTTCTTGGCCATTGCAAGATTTTTCTGATTTGTTCTGTGTTGCTCCACACTCCTCCATTCAATATCACTTTCAGAAGGAATACTTTTGTTGCCATATTTGTCTGACAAGAAAAGCTCAGTTTTTAGCCCAAGAACCTTTTTTCAGTGTTACTATGTCAACTTTTGAAATGTAAAATGCCAACTTCATGTTTGATTGAAATTTGGTAATTTTTAGATATTGCAATTAAGAGTCATACTTCTAGCTATCCTTGAATGGCATTTAAAAACATCGTTCCTGGCTCAATCCAACAAAATTTAGTTTCAGTATATAATTGATCAATACCAGTTAATCTGAATTACTTGTACATTATGCACGACCGAGGAGCATATTTATGGATTATATTGCTTTAAATATGAACACATGAAATAAATCCCACTATATTCAGAAACGTATGGGTTGGATCATAGAATTAGCTGTCATGCTATCTGCTGACACATAACTATGAACCAGATCTTAGAAAGACCCCATGAAAAATGTTTATATCATTATATGACAAGATGACTGATACTGATGTAGAACTAACTTGTTGAAATATTCATTTGGTTCCATATATTTTCCCTTACTTCAGCATTAGTAAAATATAAGGTTATTGAATTGTTGTCTTTAGCAGGAGACAAACGCATCACCAGTTTGGCAAAAAGGTTGATATTTTGCAATTGTACCACTGCACAAAGGGTAAAATTAGCATTGTTGACTAAATCAGTATTCAGATGTTCCATATTTTGCCTGTCTTTGGCTCACCATTTCTATACTATATTTCGATTATTGTTATTAAAATAAGCATGTGACACAATACCCATCTGTCAGGGATATTAGTGGTCTGGGGAATTGATTCCTGTTACAGAAGCCAGACTGAGAAAAATAATTTAGACTTCCTCACTCCCTCCTCTATCCCCAATCCAACTCTGGGTCTCCATAAACTGATTGTGAAGCTCCTATAACTGGATTCTGTGATCTGGGAGAAAACAGAACTGAAGTAAAATCTGCACAAGGTAATTAAGAAGGAGGAAGGCTGCTAAAATGGGCAAAAGAAGCTTGGGAGGCAGTGGCCAAACTGCAAAGGAGAAATTGAAATTAGCGTCACACTTTAAAATGGATAGCCAAAACTTTGCATGTAGGCCTCCATTCCACAGACTTATTTTTAAATGAATCTGTTGTTTGGCTTAGCAAACTCTCTCTCTCTACTAGATAAGCTTTTCTTCCCCCTAGTTTCATTTGGTATTTGGGAGAAAGCAAGCATAAAAATGGGGCAGGACGCAGCTGACAAACTATAATAATGCCAACCATTGGCTATGGTAATCAGCCTGCCACATCTCTTTTGCATATGCACACACAGCAACATACACTCACAGCACCACCCGAACAGACTGGCATGGCCTATGTTGGCACAGGTTCAGAGAGCTCTCCTGTAGCCTCTCTCTGCATCTTGTTCAATTCGAAGCACAGATGAGCCAATCGAAGCAGGAGGGGGAGGGAGCTCGTATGGCACGTCCTCACCTGCCATTTAATTGGATGTATTTTTAATTAATAGCACCTCAGGGACTGACATGAGACACAGTCGGTCTTTGAATAGGGACTGGGGAGGAATTGGGGAATGTGCAAGGATTGGACCGCAGGGTGCGCTTAGCGGGCAAACACTGCCATCAATCAAGGACCACTTTGGGCTGTTTGGATGGAACACAGCATAAAGGGAAATGGGTAGTGTGTGGATGTGATGTGTGTGTAGGACAGGCAAGGAATCAAAGAGAATAATTTGCTTTCCCTACTTCTAAGGATGAGCCCTGGCCAGTGGGAAGAAATCTCTAAGGGCAAGGCAGGAATTTCAGGATAGATATGTTGAGACAGGTTTAGAGCAACTTGTTTTTACTTTGGCCTTCAAAAAAATTTTAGATTTTTATGTATCCATACAGTAGTTTCCATATCTTCCTTCTCAGTTTGAGAATACACGCAGCAAGGCTCAAAGGTCTTTTCATGGCAGTATGTATTAATAATGTTTCATGTGTCTGCATATAATTGTGTATAATGAAAGAGGATCTACTGGAAGAGGCCAACCATCTCTTTGAAGCAAAGATTTGGATTCCTTTTGGGATCTATTCCATGGCCAGAAGTTCCTGCAGTTAGGATGGGAGAATATTTTTATGGCTCCCAGGATTTCTGGGCTAGGAGAAGCCCAAAGTTTGGCATATCATTACGGACATTTAAGGATCAAATTGGTACATGAAACACCTTCCCTTAAACACCCCCAAAGGGACAAAGGGACTAATTTGGGGAGGAAATGCAAGCCTGAAACTTACACTAATGCACCCTTCCCTTCCCTTCCCCCCTTTCTTTCACTCTCTCATACACTTAATTACTCTCTCTGTATAATGGCCACAAATCCAGGAAGGGACCCCACATTGTATAGCTCACACATTTTAGATAAGCTAACCTAATATACTCCTTTGGCAGGCACTTGATGTATAAGGCCTTTTGATGATTTATACAGTTCTCTAGAAATGTGTACAACCAATAAAGTAGCCAAAGAAATAGGTCGAGGAGGGGCGAGGATGACAGTCTGCCTCCCTCAGGCTTCACTTGGCAAGCTGTCCTCCAAAGCTCATTTCAAAGTTGTTACAGGAGCTGCCCTTCCCAGACACACCTGCTGTTTGGGGGGGAGAGACAGGAGGAACCAAAAGTAAGGTAGGAAATGCCAGTTTGGATCTGCCCTCGCCAGTGGCCAGTTCTGACTTAGCTCACTAACATGCAGGTTTTAGCTGATCAAGGGGACATATAGGGAAAATATAAAAAATGTAAAACAAGAATTAAAATCTTCAATCTATTGTATGTGTAGATTTTATTATTGTTATGGTGTGCTTTCTAATGCGTTTTACATATATTTTATTAGCTGTCTAGAAAGTGAAGTAGTAATTTCAAAAATGAAATACAATAAATAGATAATTTCTGAAGAGTTGTTGCCTTTGGTAGATAATTGTTGAAGATAGAGGACACCTTATTGCGGAAGAGTTTATTCTATATTCAAGATTAACCTACCAGTTGCATTTTCTTGCAAGTTTAGAACTCTGTTTAGTTATCAGTGAAATCTAGGGAGGCCACCCAATATATTCTGGCAGGCTGGAATCACAAGCTATTGAGTCTCCTAATTTGGTATATAGCTAAAACTAATACACGAGATGAGTTAGGGTAGAGTAGATAAATAACTTTTTTTGTTCCTTTCTGCCTTTTGTTTCTAGGAATAGACGTGCCATTGGGCAAAGAACTGGCTAGATCATGACTTTTTGCCTAATCAGATGGCAACTTTTTTTTGGTTGAAGGGTGAGGAATATAACATTTGCACTAGTTCTTCAAAGAAGATACGATTGGCCGGCAGACACAGGTACACCCTATTTCTCTTTTTTGCCTGTCCTATCCCTTCTCCCCAATGTTAATACTTTATAATTTCACTGCCTCTGTTGAAAGGAAGAATAGCAAGGCTGGACAGAATTGAAACCTCTGGAAATGAATGCACAGCTGGTGCTGTTCTCTTCCTGCTCAGCTGCACCAGCCTCCCTTTGCCTTCTGGCGATCCCCAGTTGGCGGTGGGGGGAGGGGATGGCAGGGGGAAGGAGGGGAGGATGGGTTCCTGCTAGTAAAGATGATGGTTTCTGCGGTGATGCGCCAGGGCAGCTGCCCTGCAGAAGGAGAGAGGGGAGGGAGAGTCAGGTGCTTGTGGATTTAATGTAGGCCACTCATTAATATTTAGTGTCATTGGAAGAAAGTGCAAATGTGTGGCAGAGAGATTTCATCTAGCTTGGTCCACACCGCCTCCTCTGCATTGGAATGTGTTTACCCAGGCAGACATTTAGGGGTACCAGATGCTAAGCCCAAAAAGCCTCTGGAGATTTATTTGGCCTGAAGAATTAAAGCTGCTATGGTCCTCTGAAATTTATTTCACTTCAAGATTGGATGGTTGCATGCCCCAAACCTTCCTATCTTAAGGAATATTGTACTAAACTCAAAAACGTACCAAATAAAGGAACATTTCTCCCCTCCCCTCTACAGCAATTTCTGAGGTGTTAAAGAGCCCTTTCTTTGGCAGTGTGTTTTTTTATGGTAGCACTGGTGCATAAAACTATCCATTTATTATTACCAAAATGGTTTAAATTTTACATAGATAAATTTGGACACTATAGAAAAATAGATTGGAATTTATGTTATTCAGTAAGTAGATTTAGGTTTTAAAGAATATAATATGTTTCCTACGACTTAAAAATGTAGTTTAGCAAAAGAAAAAAAATGCTCTTGGATCCTTCAGGGAATGTTTTAAAAAGAATGGCTCTCATCATTTTTATGCTGCAATAAATGATGTAATAAATGTAAAGGCACTTTGGTGCATATCTTACAGATATGTCCACTTGTCCTCTTGTAATTGACTAAATTGACTAACTGTGGTAAACCAGGTTCTTTGAAGCCAGGTAAGGATTAAAAATATTAATGTTTTGCTGGATTATAGTTTCCAAATTTGGATTCTTTCCCTCTATGAATAAATCTGGATGAACTTGCGTCTGAAGCTCCACATGATAACTTAATGGAGTTTGTCAACACTGAGACTTTGAATCAGCTTTGCACTGATGGGAAGGCAAAACCAGACATTATGGTTGCATATGCTCTTGCTTTAATTCACTGTTAAAAAACTGAATCACAACTTGCAAAAATAGAAAATTAACATAATTTCAGTTATTTGATGTCTTATCTACTATATCTACCTATCTACCACTTATCTTTGAATGGCCTATTATATATCTATACTAAAAATAGACATAATTTAGGTATTTAGGAATTTTACTTTGTAACCTTGACTTTTATTTTAATTTGGAGTTTTCTAAGTTTAAATTTATTTGAGCTATTTTTCTTTGTTTTTGTTTTATATGTTATATAGTTTAATATAGGATTTTTGCATTTTTGTATTTTTCTCTTCATTCCCATGTACACTTTTCTTTTTTAAATACAGTTCTTCTTAAATACAGTTTTAGATACAGTTCTATAGTAGTAATATAGAGACCATCAATCATGGTATCCTTCTGTATTGGTTCTGGGATTGTCCTCCTTCCTCTGGGGTTGATGAGTGGCAAGAGCTCTAGCCTCTGGACTCTACTTTGTGGGGTGGTACTTTCTCCCTGCTATTTAACATCTAATAAAGCCCCTGGGTGAGGTCCTCTAGCTAGCACTTTGAGGTGAGATATCATCGGTATGCTCAGCTTTGTATCTCCATTCCAGGCTGTGTAAATGATGATATGGAAATTATGTCTCAGTGTCTGGAGTCAATGGGGGCCTGGATGGGGCGCAACAACCTTCAACTCAATTCTCAGTCATCCAAGTCATGGTGGTCTGAAATGCTGTTCAAAAGACAACTGGACTTTCTTGGGTTTTGTTTTTTTTTTCATTGAAAACATTTCACTTCTTATCCAAGATGTTTCTTCAGGAACTTCAGTTCAACCCAAGCAAGACCACATGGCTTTTGGTTTGGGGGATTTTCCATCTTTGGTTCTGGATGGATGGCACTGTTGCAGAGCCAGATGTAATCTAGGGGCCTCCTGGATTCATATCTCCTTTCAAAGAGCAGGTGGTGGTCTTAGCTAAGAAGGCCTTTGCACGCCTTTGTGTTGGGCATCATTTGCATGTCTTCCTGGACCAAGAGAACCTGCTCACTTATAGTTATGCCTTCATTAGCTTCTGATGGATTATTGCAACACATTCTACATTGAATTGCTCTTGAGCATTTGGAAGGTTCAGCTGGTGCAAAATCAACGGTGTCAGTTATTCAGTGAAACATCGTTCTTCAAGTTGCATTGACTGCCAGTTTGCTTCTAAGTTAAAGTTGGTAGTTATCTTTAAATCCCTACAGGACTTGCGCCAGGTTATTTATGGGTCTGACTCTTCTCAGTTGTCTCTACCATCCTATCCAAAGTAGCATAGGGCGCATGCTGCACTAGGAGTGTTGGCTGGCAGACCCACATAGGAAAACTTTTTCTGCTATAGTACCTACCCTCTGGAATATTATCTCTCAAAAAATTTAGTTGGCTCCAATCCTATTGGCCTCTGTGGGGTCCTAAAGACCTGACTTAAGTGCTCAAGCCTGCAGCCCCAGAATGTGACGCAACCCATTTCCTGACTGTGTTGAGGTCTTTATTTTATGATTCTCCAGCTGCTATGTGTTTTATCTCTTATTTTATTTGTGTTTGCATATTCCGTATTTGTTTTAATGTTATGAGCTGCCCAGTGTCATTTACTGAGATGGGCAGCTACATAAATTGATTTAATGAATAAGTAAATAGTCACCTCCTATATTTCTATTTTTATATATATTATCATCTTTAGAAAATAATAATAATAATAATTGAAGGTCAGTTTGGTGTACTTGTTACGGCAGCAGGCTAGAAAATAGGAGACTGTGAGTTCTAAGTCCTGCCTTGGGCATGAAAGCCAGGTGGGTGACTTTGGGCCAGTCGCTTTCTCTCAGCCCAACCCGCCTCATGGGTGGTGGCTGTGGAAGAAATATTAAGAGGAAGAAATATTAGGTATGTTTTCCATTTTGAGTTATTTATAAGACTAATAAAGGTGGGATATACATGAATAAAAATACATTTTTGAAATGTATGTATTAAACATTGGGGTTTCATGTTTGGATTGCAAGAATCTAATAGACCAGAAGGCAGCCTAGAATTGGAGTTTTCTATATCAGTTTGCTGCTGTAGAATAGTTAGCTAGATTTTTGCAGCCTAGAATTGGTAGCTTTAACTAATATGGTGGGTAATATCATCTGTTGGGCATGGATTAGCAGTGTGCTGCTATAGGCATAAAAGCAGGTGCTGATTGAAAATAGTCTGCAACTATATAGCACAAGGCTGGCCCAAAGAATGCTGTTGTCTGAGGGAGGGCAACTAATGCCATCCAGTACTGATCTCCATTCTCATTCTCATTCTCAGTCTCTCCCTCCCACCCTCCCTCTCTCTCTCTCTCTCTTTCCCCCTTGCCCTTGCCCTTCCTCCCTCCCTCCCTCGCCAAATTATTCAATTGTCTAAGGCAAATAATATCAAGGATAGTTTCTCCCTCATAATAAAAGTACAGCAATAAATTAAATAATTAACTATTTATTGTCCTTTGCCCCCACCCCCTCAATCAGCTAACTGAAGGAAAGCATTTTCTCTGCCAAATGATAGGGTCAGCCTTGGTCTAATATAATACAATATGTAATATATTGTTATTTTGCAAAGTATGTTAGGTGAATTTAATTTTTGTTTTGTTTTTATTTTCAGTATTAGAATTAAGATGAATTTTTCTTTGTAAATTGTACAGCAGTTAGAACTGAACTGGATATATGAATACAAGTACGAGGAGTCAAGCAGATGTGTTAAAATGTGTTAAATTGCAAAATCTATAGGGGACCTTAATGATCTGTACCCAAAAACTAACAGAATATTTTGCACAAATTATTATTGTGAGCAATCTTGGTTACATAGAAATCCAATCAAACTTAAGCCAGGGTGAGTGGAAGGCTTCTGCAGATTTCCTGTCTCAATGCTGAAGGTCAAGACATCCAATGGACATGAGATGTTGTGCCCTCTTATCTACGTTGCTCCTGGCTATTAAAAATCCCATAATATGTATACTGTAATAATTAAAATTGTCATCTAGAATGATTTCTGAAATTTAGCTGAAGATACTGTGTCTATTCCCAAAATCGTGTTTTTGCATGTTCAGAAAACCTAAAAAAACACAGAGTAGAGAGATACACTGCCATTTATTACATTTATTGTAAATGTATCGTAGTCAATACATTTAGACATATGATGTGGCCAGTCTTTACATTCCTTTTCTGAGATGAAAGTGTTATAGCCACATGCACTATTCAGATATTTACAATTTATGCACCATGTGCATGAAGTCTATGTATGAGGGCATCTAGTATATACGTTATACGCTATACGCAATGCAAATAGTGTTCCTTATTTGTGTAACAATACTGATCCTTTGTAGATTGTCACAGTCTATCTGCACATTTAGTTATTACTATATGAATCAGATCTTTTCAGCTGGAAAGGGCAGCTGTTTAGAAACTGAATGCCAGTGTTAGAAGTTAGAACTAAACACAAACAGTATAATCCCTAGTCAGATTTTGAATCTGCAAATATATGAATGAATAGGCAGCTGGGGAGAAAAGTGAAAACTCAGAGACCGACAAGTGAATAAGGGGTATAGGGAAAAAAATGACTTGAAGGGCAAGAAAAAATTCACATAAAATGTGGCACAGTTTGCAAGCCATTTCTGATTATTTGCCCTAAACATATTTTTCTACAGATTCTTGGCACATGGCAATCTGTATGGTGATTTTGATAG